CACCTGGATACTCTGAACTGATAGCACAGGAAGTAACAAAACAGATGAATGAGGCTCTAGAAAAATTCAAAGCAGAAATAATCTCCCAGATACCTATATAGATGGTGAGCAGAGTGAAAGACATGATTAGAGGATCTAGAACAGAAACAGATTAAACAACTCCCCTTTTCTTCATATGTCTAAACGTAGTTACTAGCAGCTTATTTTCTTCAGGATATTCTGGTTAAGATTTATGAGTCCATTGTGATAAAGCCAAGATCTGCCCAAGAAAAGTATCCTTTACTTGCCTGCTCCTTAAATTGTTTCTGGGACAAGCAATCAACTAGGTCCACACAGCCCAGAAGACAACCTGAAGGATAGTCACCGGGAAATTCCACATCTAAATCAAGACAAAAGAAAAAATCAGATAAATTTCCTTCTTTGTCACCCTGCAACTCAGAAATCTATTTTAAATTCTGAAAAAATTACCTTTCCCATTATCTATTTATAGACATAAGGAAAACAAAACAATTCTTTGGCCCAATTGTTTGTATTTTAGCAAAAAACCTAGTGAGTAGCTGGCTTGGTTTACTATCAGCATGCTAAGCTACAAAACTCTTTCTTTAGAAAACTATTCCCTATTTATACTATTAAAGCTCAACAATTCCACAAGTTTATTCCAAACAAATCAGTTCTGCAATACTCAGTTGGATCAGACTGAAGTTTGGTGGTAATTAGTTTGGGGAACAAAGAAATACAGCTATGAGGAACAAGAGAAAAGCCATAAAAATGTGGCAAAAAAAAAAGAATGAGTTCTTCCTGTAAGCTGCCTGAGATGATCTGTGAAAATGGTTTGCTACTCCTTGACCCAGAAAACCTCACAAAATCATGCAAATCAAGAGGGCCAAATCTTTGTGCGCACTTTAAGAACACCCTGTGAAATTGCTCAGGCCAGCAAGGGTATGCATATGTGCAAGCCCACCAAGTCTCCAAAGGATGTCACTTTAAAGAAGTAGCATGAGCTATTACAGAATTACAATGGTGAAGTTGGTAGGTGTGCCCAGGGCAAAGAGTGGGGCTGGACACAGGGTGTGGCGCAAAGAGTGCTGAATTTTTACTACACATGCTTAAAAATGCAGAATAAAAGCAACTGAAGGGTTTAGATTAGATTGTCTGGTCAGTGAATGTATCCAGGTGACCAAAGCAGCTAAGAGGCATTGCAGTAATCACAGAATTCAGGATCAGATAAACCCATCTGTGAACTGCTCTACACACCAAGATAACCCTTACTGAAAAGGAACAAATTATTCCTAAACCAGACAAGGAAGTTGCACAGAACAAAAAGATAGCTGGAAGAAGCTGAAGAAACAAAAACTTACAGCACAGAATAAATTAAGCGTAAAATAAATGCAAATAAAAATTTTTACAAATGTGTGTCAGAACACAAATATATTTATTTATTTTTACATTACTGGGGATATAACCAGGGGCACTCTACCATTAAGCTACAGCCCCAGACCGCCCCCCCCCCGCCTTTTTTTTGCAGTACTTAGGATTGAATCCAAGGCCTTCACACTGAACTACATCCCTAGCCCTTTTTATTTATTGTTATTATTAATTTGGGGGGGTTTTTTTGTACCAGGGATTGAACTCGGGTCCTTGCACTTGTGAGGCAAGTGGCGGAATCACTGAACTAAATCCCTGGCCCTGTTGTTGTTTTGAGACAGGGTCTTGCTATGTCATTCAGGCTGGCCTTGAACTCATTATGTAGCCCAGGCTGGCCCTGAACTTGTGGTGATCTTTCTGCCTCAGCTTCCCAAGTGCTGGAATTACAGGGGGTGAACCACCATACTTGGTTTATCTTTTCTACTTTTGGGGGTTTTTTTGGTACCAGGGATCAAACTCAGGACCATGTGCTTGCACGGCAGGCGTGGTGCCACTGAGCTAAATCCCCGGCCCTCTTTTCTACTTTCGAGACAGAGTCTCACTAAGTTATCCAGTTAGGACTCAACTTTGTGATCCTCTGGCCATCCAAGTGCTGAGATTATAGGCATGTGTTCCCATCCTTGGATAGAATCCAAATTTAAAACAAGCCTGACAGGGCTGGGGATATAGCTCAGTGGCAGCATGCCTGCCTGGCAAGTGCAATGTCCTGAGTTTGATTCCTGGGATGGCAAAAAATAAAACAAGCCTGAGATATCAGTCAAAAGAAAAATGTGCTTTTAAGGAAGTATGCACTTTTGATCACTCCTAGTGATTTCTTAAGCTTAGTTTCTTTCTTTTTCTTTTTTTTTCCTTTTTGTTTTTGGTACCGAGGCAGGCGCCAGAACCACTGAGCTAAATCCCCAGCCGGAACAACTTCCTTTTTTTTTTTTTGGTACTGAGGATTGAACTTGGGTCCCTGCGCTTGCACAGCAGGCAGTGAAACCACTGAGCTAAATCCCTGGCTGCTCTTTTTGGTTTTTTGAAACAGGATCTCGCTTTGTGGTACAGGCTGTCCCCAAACTCACAGTTTCTCCTGCCACAGTTTCTCCGCCTCCCAACTGCTGGGATTACAGATGTGTTCCACCACACCAGGCTAGCTTAATTCTCTCTTTAAAACACTAAAAATTTTTTTATTACTACATGTTTGCAGTATATAATGACTACGCTCATCATGGGAAGTTGGTTCACGTACATAATACATCTTAATTCTTTTTGCTTTTCTAAGTTTGGTTCCTTAAAAACTTTTCCTTTTTGGTTCCAGGGATTGAACCCAGAGCCTCATGCACACTAGGCAGGTGCTCTACCATTGAGCTATATCCCTAACCCTTTTTTACATTTTTGAAATAAGAGCCTAACTGAGGCTGGCCTCAAACTTGGGATTCTCTTGCCTCAGTCTCCTGAATAGCTGGAATTACAGGCATGCATCACCATACCCAGCTTCTTAAAAACTATTAAAGATAGTTCTGTAATTATTCATTGTACCTTCAAAACAAATGTATGAGCTGGACAAAAGAAAGGAAAATAGGATGCCCAAGGGTTAGAGTTTTTTCTAAGATCCAAATTTACTATGCGTGGGGGGATTCCTAAAATTATCTGCTAAAGTCAATAAACCTGAATTTACCCAAATCTGCTAGCAGGTATCTATTAGTCACTCCTGATATTTAAAAAATCTTGTTTACTGTTGTTTTTCCCAACCTAAAGATCCCAGAGTTTATGAGTCATTTATTTTATCTGCAATAGTAAAAGGAAGAAGATTTTCTCAGATAAAAATTAAAGTTACTGCTGGGGGTGGTGGTGCACGCCTGTGATCTCAGCACTAGAGAGGCTGAGGCAGGAGGACTGCTGTGAGTTTGAGGCCAGCCTGGGCTATATAGTGAGTTCAAGGCCAGCCTGAACTACATAGCGAGATCCTGTCTTTAAAAAATAAATTAAAGTTACTATTGCTTCTTGATGTTTTGAGTAAGATCAAGTGTAAAATTAAATTAGTTGGTTGATTTCTGGGGTTGGAAACTGATGTTTTATTTATACTTAATGCTTTGAACTGCTGTCTATGATTTATCATTAAACAAATTAATAAACAAATACAAGGTTTTAAAAGTCCCTTTCAGCCTCCAAAACTGCTACACAGATTCAATGCCATCCTGATTGAAATCCCAACAGCATATTTCACAGAACTAGAAAAAACAATCCAAAAGTTCATCTGGAACCAGAAGAGACCTAGAATACCAAAAGCAATTCTAGGCAATAGTCATGGCAGGGGGTGTCACAATTCCCAACTTGAAAGTCTACTACAAAGCCACTGTGATAAAAACAGCATGATACTGGCAAAGAAACAGATCCGAGAATCAGTGGAATAGATTAGAAGATGCAGAAACAACTCCAGACACACTCAGCTACCTCATCTTTGACAAAGGAGCCAACCATCCTCACTGGAGGAAAGATAGCCTCTTTAATAAATGGTG